TGATTACGCATTCCTACCTGTCGACACGGGCCACACTCACCTATAGCCACAGGTCTCTTGAACCCACCACACTCCGTCCTCACCATCAGTAACCCCCTCCCCCCCCTGCCCTCCTTAAACATACCTCCTGGGGGTGATCTTTGATACCTGAAAGAGTCATCGTGGTGGTTAACTAATGATGTGAACCATTGCCCTATGATGATAGGAAAACCTATCATCTTAGGGTCATAAAGTTTTTGACACCTATTACATCGGCCTAATACCGTGATGGTTAATAGGATCTGATAATACTTAGGGCAGATACACGGCTGTCCGGTGCCTTTACTAACTTGTCTGAACAGTGTGATGCACTCGTCCTGGATCAAGATAAGTTGGTTCATAGATGAGCTTCGTGGTCATCTGTTGCTCCAAGTGAAAAACAAATTTGGAGTTTATTAGTGATCATAAGATTGCAACAAGGATGTGTATTGTTGCTGTGGCTCTTTAGGACTTTCATAGATGTGGTATTAGAAGCGTTGAAAGCCAAAGTAAGGTAGATAGGAGCAGGTATGATAGAGATGTGGGATACAAATTGGAGATGAGTCATTTGTTTACATATGGCGCTGGTCAGGTGAATTTTTAATGGATTGTAACCGATTATTTTGTAGAGCACAGACTATTTTGCTGGTCATTATTGTCTTATGGTGTATGAGAAGCTCTGGAACAGGTGATGTGTATAAGAGGACAGACTCTGTGATACTTAAAACATGACCCCGGAAATGTACCAGAACTAAGACAGGATATTTTATCTAACATCTCTCAGAACAACGAAAATGAGATTTCTTTTGTTTGTTTTCTCACCATATTTACTTCCTTTCTATATAATTTACCATTTTATCATTGGTGACTACTCTGGAGGACAGTGTTATGAACATTGTATCATAAAAAAATTAATTACTCGTGATAAATCAAGGTATGTGTGTGGGATCCTTTCTGGGTGTACTGTACTCTGGAGACGCTGTATGGTGGTGTTGGCTTACTGGCAGAGGGCGCCACAGTCAGGGTCTTTAATTAACAATATTTTCCTTCCATTTTAAGCGTCAGAAATAAATATCACTTTCTGTTACGGATTAAAAGGTCCGACTGTGATGCCACCCCACCCCAACCCATCCCACCCCACACACTACCTTGTGAGTAAGGGGGAACTGGGTATGAATTTTAAATATGAGCAGCAGCAGCAGTACGTTCCTCTAGGAATTGGCGGAACAGATCATCGGCCGGCGGTGCCTCACCCCTCGCTGGGTCGGAGGAATAACCCAGGTGAGGAGACCAGGCAGTAGTGGGGATGAGGTAGGGGCATCACAAGACACAGGAGCGGCGCCTTTGATGTCAGTGATCGTATGGGAAGGGAGAACGTGCTTAGGTTTATCTTCAAGGTGTATAAACTTTGTATCCGCACATGTCTATAGGTTGGTCATGAAAAGTAAACATTATCACCACCCATCGACGAAAGTCATGGTCCAAACAGCACGAGCACGACACAAACAGTGGGTGTTATATGAGAGGAGATAGTTGGTAGAGAGAGGCAGAAGAACACCTCATCTGATCATCTGTTTGCCCCCAAGGAACCCCAGTGATAAGCAGATGATTCCCAGTGAAATCCAGTGTTACTCCAGTGAGCTCTCATATTTTCCAGTAAGCTCCAATGTTACCCCAGAGAGCCTTAGTACTTCCCCGTGAGCCCTCGTGTTTCCCCGTGAGCTCCATTGTTATCCCAGTGAGCTCTCGTGTTCCCAGTGAGCTCTCGTGTTCCCAGTGAGCTCTCGTGTTCCCAGTGAGCTCTCGTGTTTCCCAGTGAGCTCTTGTGTTTCCCAGTGAACTTCAATAGTACTCCAATGTTACGCCATAAACCCCAATATTGTTTTTATGAAACACCATCGTTACTATCAGTGGTCCCCATATGACACCTCAACGAACACCAGAGTAACTTAATTAAGAACCCGAAATGAACTCAATAAGCTGTTGTGTTGCCTTAATGAACGTTTATCTTGCACTTATTATTTTCATTACTTCTAAAACAACAATATTAGCATGTACCGTTAAGTCAGAGAACCTAAATCATAAATGTTACCTCTAATGAATCGTAATCTAACCTCAGTGAACCCAAGCTATAGGGACGGGGTGCAGGACGTGCCGCTGGGCCGTGGGTGGGTGCGACCGTCTGCAGGGGAGGCCATAGAGGTGTTGAATAACTTTGGTCCGGGAGGTGTGTGTGTGTGTGTGTGTTAGGGTGGGGGGGGGGCAATCACGGCCTCGGTTGGTGTCCTCCGAGTGACGCTATGCCCTGGCTGATGCCATGCCTAAAACGGCCAGGGGAGTGGTGGGAAGCCCTTGGTGCGTGTAGCTGGTGTTAGGGTGGTGGAGGTACAGTGTGATTGTGTAGAGAAAGGAGACGTTTTCCAGTTTTATAACATCAAAGTGTGAAATAAGAATAAGGTATTGCGGTTACGTTTTGACTTTCTCTCGTATTATGAATTTTATCACAAATATTCTAAATATCAACTTTCAGTATATAACAATAAATTCTTTACAACAACAAATTAGACAATTCTTCATGTCTTTTATCCCCCCCCCCCCAAAAAAAAAAATAGTTTGCCCCTACATAATTTGCCTCTCCTCTTAAAAATAAACTTACTGTAGATATCTGAAATTTGGGTGAAAATCCTTCACTTGTGTTTAGAATCTACCTGTTGTTAAAACTCTCATACATGCTCACAACTTCTCCCACTCGTATAAACAAAACACAACATATAATTTAACTTCATAAAAACGTTGCGTGTTAATTGCATGGACTATTTATGAAATTTAATATTCTTCGACAATGTATCCCTCGTCTTTCATGTTGTTATTTTAATTGTATTTCATCTGAAATGACAATATCCAACGGTACACACCGAGACCCACCCCCCTGTGACAAACGTTGGTCTGGATCCATGTAACTGTTGGCTCCAGTGCTGTCGTCGTTGTCTTAAATGGTATCAAACTCTGACCACCAACGGCCATCTTAACAGGTGTAAGTGGCAACGAGGTGCCTTATGGGAGAGAAGCTTTGACTACTTTCATTGTCTTTGAACTCGTACCAAATTAAGCAGTTTATAGTGCAGGACCCACCAGCACCACAAGTTGATGTTGACTCATTATTCCCATCATGGTTACAGGAAAAAAATAAAACTACAGTAAGGATTTATTAGAAACATTTATAATATCACAGTACAGAATTTCAAGATAGTTTAGTTTTCCCTTAAAATAATGTTCTCTGGGTAACACTAACAGAAAATGAGTCTTTTGTAAAGGCTAACTCTACTAAAAGTGAGCGCTAAGACCTTGCATTGCCGTTTATTGATTAGTATGACATACAAATTTCACAACAGTTGCTACGGAACAAATTTAATTAGTTAAGTACGGTAATTGTTCATTACAATGGTTATTTTCTGAAGGAGTTAGTCTGTCAGTGAGGTTTGCAGGTGAGGTCTAGGTTACTACCAGCGCCTTGAGCACTTCTTGGTGTCTTCACCTGAGGTAACTGGTTGTACCCAGTTACTGTCAATCACCTGACTTACCAGAAATGGTTCGTGGTAAAGTACTTCGTTTAAATGTTAATAATGACACCCGGGTTAATGTTACTTACTTTTTGTTTTGTTTTGGTTTGACATTTGGTTTGACCTATTTACTGTAGGCCACCGGTCACCATAACAGCAAGCTGTTCACATGAGCTTTACAACAGGACCTAGAACAGGTTTTATCAGTGCAGCTGATTGGCTGACGCAGTGAGGTGTTTGCGGTTAATCTAGAGCTCGTCATTATTCTTTCTTTATAATTTGCAATTGCAAGTAATATTAACAATTAAGTGTTGACCTGGAACGATATCCGAAGCGGGGAAGTAAATATTAGCATATGAAACGCAATGATAACGAAGATATTTCAAAAGGGAAAAATAAAAGGTTAAAAACGACCAGGAAATTTTTTATACATGTGTGCGTGCAGGTGGGTGTGGCGTGAGGGTCACCCTATTGACGACCACAGCAGAGGTCCGGCTTCTCTCACGGCCAGCTCTATGTTGATTGATCAGGAGTTGGCGATGACAAATTCTTTTCATAGAACTCGATGGAAAAACATGCAGTATTGTTCTTCCTGAAGCTCTTAAGGGTTAAAAACTTGTCAAACGCCGTGTTGATATGTGATAGAAAGATGTGATGTGAAATCCTCAGTGTTATGATAAAGAGTTTCAATGTGAGTAAATGATTTTAACTCAAAATTGAGCTTTATAATACTTTTTAATTTGGTATAATCAAAATTTCTGAGTTTGAGAATGTATCACACAAGTATAATAGGGTAACATATTAAACACACACACACACACAGACACACACACACACACACACACACACAGAGTTTATTAATAGAGGGAAATATGCTTAAGATAGAATAAAACTATATTATTGGAAACAAAAAAATATTACCCAATCCGTGCTAAGCAGGGTACTTTAACTTATAATAATAATGATAAAAAGAAATATTGATTATAATAATAATGATGATAATAATAATAATAATAATAATAATAATAATAATAATAATAATAATAATAATAATAATAATAATAATAAAAAGTAATAATAATAATAATAATAATAATAATAATAATAATAATAATAATAATAATAATAATAAAAGTAATAATGATAATAATAATAATAATAATAATAATAATATTAATAATAATAATAATAATAATAATAATAATAATAATAAAAAGTAATAATAATAATAATAATAATAATAATAATAATAAAAGTAATAATGAAAGTAATAACAATAAAAAGTAATAATGATAATAATAATAATAATAATAATAATAATAATAATAATAATAATACCATCATCATTATTAAATTATCATTATTATTATTATTATCATTATTATTATTATTATCATTGGGAAGATAAATGGAAACAAATACTTTTCATTTATATTTAATTATTATGCACCTGATAAATGGACATTAAATTCACTGAGCAATGTTTTTTTTACCACATAATCCTGTAAAAAAAAAGTCTCAAAAAGATATATTAAATTATTTTGGTCTAATACTCTTAAACACAAGTATATACCAGTAAGATATTTTGACAATTTGGAATAATATTTTTTTGTGTGTATGAGTTAAAAATAAAACTACTTGTCATAAAACTAAAAAAAATAGACTAGATATGAGGGCTGTTCCAGAGAAAATATAAAACAACATAGGTCATTCTTATAGCACGAACTTAACACTAATATGTACACTGTCTACCTGGTCTTCTAACACATAATTATCTTCAATGGTTGAGCTTTTGTTCCTGAAGTGCTACACCGTGTTTGGTTTTTGTTTCGACATTACCAATAGCGACTGCATGTGTCTGGTTCACTCATAATATAATAGGGGAAATTTTACATTGAAATTTGGCGAATTTATAAGAATTGGGGGAAATAAATATGAGGTTGACTTATTTCGGGAAAATTAGCGATGCTTTTAAGGATGAATCAGATTTTGTTTAAAGTGAAAAAGGAAAATATTGTTGCCGTGATGATGAGATACGTAAGGCAGCACTCGGTGTGACGAGGGGATGATGTACAGGTGTGAACAGGAAGTAGCCAGCTTGACCAAGGTACAATTTAACATGCATAACAATAACAAAACGAAGAAATTATAGCAAAGAAAAAGTTCTGCCTTTATCGCCATGGGTATTAAACTAAATGTTAATGTAACACTTTTCTCGCAATTTTTTCATAATGTGAAACTGCAGCTTGAAAGTTTATTACCAATGACCGAGTGAGTGTTAGGTCGTTAACACATTAATTACCGGTATCTGTTTTTCTCCGAGGAACTTACCCAGTGTGTGAGAGCGGTGGAGGGACCTGTGTTGGGTCAGGTTCACCCAGCTGCTCTCAGCCATAGTTCTGAGAGTCGAAGAACTGTGGTGCCGGAGACACGAGAGCCTGATAGCCCGGCGGAGCAACACCTGCATCTGGCCGTAGCGCCGCGCCCAGGGTTACTGCGGGTTTGTTGGCGCCGTAGCCTCCAGGACAAACTGGAGTTACCGTCACGTATTCCTTCACTGTCTCCGTCACGTAATGCAAATCAGGAATATAACTCGTGACGGGATTTTCTGTGACGTAATTCTGGTTGACGACTGTCGTGGTGACGTACTGTGTGTGTGTGATGAATGTTGGCACATGTTCCTTGACCTGCTGGGTGATGGTGACGTGATCATACTTAACCTGTGGTGGAGGCGGCTCAGCGTACACAGACGTGGTGGCGTAGTTGAACACCGTGGTGGTGATGATCTGGGGAGGGCCGTACTCCGTGATGTACTCAGGCACGCGCTTTGTTTCCACTACAGTGACGTAGTCGACTGTTGTCTCGAACACCAGGGAAGGGATCACTTCATGCTGTGGGGGAACAAGGTCATCAGACAACTACCAGGCAGCTGTGTTATTGGTGGTGTGGAGTACACAGGTATGTATTGTGGCGTCGGCTGCTCCTTGTGTTGCTGTGACGTTGGCTGGTATGTGTCACACTGACGTCAGCCGTTCCGTGTGACAGTGATGTCAGCTGTTACTTGTGGCACCGTGATGTTAACTATTGCATGCAGTATTGTGACGTCAGTTGTTACTTGTCACACTGATGTAGCTGTTACTTGTGACACTGACGTAACTGTTACTTGTGACACTGTGACGTAACTGTTACTTGTGACACTAATGTTAAATGTTACATGCAGTAATGTGACGTCGGCTGTTACTTGTGACAGTGACGTAGTTGTTACTTGTGACACTGTGACGTAACTGTTACTTGTGACACTAATGTTAACTGTTACATGCAGTATTGTGACGTCGGCTGTTACTTGTGACACTGTGACGTAGTTGTTACTTGTGACACTAATGTTAACTATTACATGCAGTATTGTGACGTCGGCTGTTACTTGTGACACTGTGACGTAGCTGTTACTTGTGACACTGTGACGTAACTGTTACTTGTGACACTGTGACGTAGCTGTTACTTGTGACGCTGATCGTAACTATTGCATGCAGTATTGTGACGTCAGTTGTTACTTGACACTGTGACGTAATTGCTACTTGTGACACTGTGACGTAACTGTTACTTGTAACACTGTAACGTAGATGTTACTTGTGACACTAATGTCAACTTTTGCATGCAGTATTGTGACGGCAGCTGTTACTTTTGACACTGTGGCGTAGTTGTTACTTGTGACACTAATGTTAACTGTTACATGCAGTATAGTGACGTCGGCTGTTACTTGTGACACTGTGACGTCATTGTTACTTGTGACACTTAACTATTACATGCAGTAATGTGACGTCGGCTGTTACTTGTGACACTGTGACGTCGGCTGTTACTTGTGACACTGTGACGTAGTTGTTACTTGTGACACTAATGTTAACTATTGCATGCAGTATTGTGACGTCGGCTGTTACTTGTGATACTGTGAAGTAGCTGTTACTTGCGACACAGTGATGTAGCTGTTACTTGTGACGCTGATCTTAACTATTACATGCATTACTGTGGGGTCGGCTGCTACTTGTGTCGGTAAAGGTGTCTTTTAGGCCAGCACACTTTATAATGTATATTTCTCGTCAGGACTCACTCAAAGGTTTATTGTAATACATATAACCCAAGACTGAGGAAAAACGAGAAAGCTAAAGGCTTGAAGGCCACAACTCAATTCACGTTTCTTAAGGCATTCCAGAGTGGTTGTTTAGTTGCTCCTCCGCCAGACATACATTTTCTGGATTGAAACAAACGTTTTAGTGATGTTCAGGAAGGAAATGGAGAACACTATTAAGCGTGTGAACCTAAAGACACCTTTACCTTTGTGCGCCATCGTGACGTCGACTGTTACTTGCGTCACCTGTTACTTCTGCCGTTACCTGTTATCTTCCTTCAGGTGTTTCATGCACTACCTTTGTTTATGTAATTTTACCTTCCGAGAAAGTTTACCTCAGTGACGGTGACGAAATCTGTAGGGGTGAGGTAAATGGAGTGGTCGACGGTCTTGACGCTGATTTGTGGAACGGTGGCCACACTGGTGGCGGTAACTGTGTAGGTGGACACCACTGTCCTCGGCACGGGCGTGTAGTTCACTTCTGTGGTGGACTGGTACACGTTGTTGGTGACGAAATACGTGGTGGTCTGCGGCAGGAGGGGGATGTCCATGATTAGTGACTGGCCACTTAGAGTTAAGTGGTTGATTGTTTACATATGGTTATACAGTGTTTTCTGATTTACAAAAGCAGTGGACCTATAAATGTACTGCTCAGTAATAAGGAAGCGACAAGATATCCTGCTATAATGTACACTCCACTAATTCTATCTCGCTACCAACAACAAAACTGAATTTAAGGATATATTTGTGTTAGTGCAAAGATAATGTTTCTTTTGAGTAATTACCGAAGACATTCACGTAACTGAGCTAACCTAACCATAACCTAACAAAACGATCTCAGAATACCTGTTAATATGTTGGGTAAGTTTGACTAAGTTGGATTTGGTTGGTTCATTTTAGCTTACTGACCTTCATCATTATTATCTTCCTCTGTTACCACCAAATCAACAATCATTTCTCTCATTCCTAACAATTATTCCTTCTCTTATCCTTGTGACGTACCTGAGTAACGTATCTGACTTTGGGGACAACGATGGACTCGGTATAGGTGACAGTTCTTAGGTCAGTCACCACATTGGTCACGTAAGAGGTCACCACTTGACGATCATACTGGGTTTGGAGCACCACCGTCGGCACCACATGCTCCACGAACTCTGTGTGAGGCACTGGTACCTGACACAGCACCAGTGGTTAGTGAGGTGGCGCGGAGGAGGAGGGAGAGAATGTGAGGGAAAAAGAACGAAGAGAAACGGTAGAAGAGAGTGAGAGAGAGAGAGACAGTAATATAGCTGAATAGATATATGTACGAGTATATAGAATAAGCACAGCAAAGTATGGATATATAATAGATGGAGGGATAGAAAGAGGGGTGATTAGACAAACAGGAAGATACATATATAAATAAACAGAGGAATGTAAATAAACTGACGGAAGTGGATATATCATTTCTTCTAACAGCTTAAAAAAAATGAAATGGACTACTCAGCTGTCTCTCTCACTTAACTACGAAAGAGTAATGGATAAACCTCTTAACTATGAACACATTACCAAGAAGAGAACGGTATGCTTAGTACGCTACTGTGTGATGAACCCAGGAACAGAGATATGTGAAGGAAACCTGGGACTGAGAAGAGGTGTTGGTCAAGAAAGGGCGCCACGTACCGGGTATTCCTCCGTGATGAAGTTGGTGACGTAGTGGGTGAGAGGGTCACACTTGGGCACGTTCACTCTGATGGGGATGGGTTTAGGGGGTGGTGGTGCCCTGTAATGTACTGGAGTTGGCACGGGCACGGTGATGACGGGGCGGCTGCTGCCTCCTCCTTTACCTCCTCCTTTACCCCCTCCCTTACCTCCACCCCCGAAGATCGACAGACCCTTCTGGAGACCCTTCACAAAGTTTCCAAAGCCGCCGCCCTTCCCTTTACCACCGTCGTCATTGTAATCGTAGTCGTTGTAAACAGGAATGGCGGCAACTGCTATAGGTGGAGCGGCGTGGTAGCTCGGGGCGGGGAGCGGATGGCCATAAGACTGGATAGGGGGAGAGCCATAGACGGGGCCAGGTGGGGGGCCATATCCCCCATCAGCCCTGGAGGCGGCCACGGTGGCACACACCAACACCAACTGGAGCCAGTTCATCGCCGCTGTGGGAAGACAAGGAGCTGTGTAACCCAACCCGGGGATAATGTATCACTACATAACCTACAGCCACGGGGTCATGTATTCAAGCTTAACCTAACCTACAGCCACGGGGTCATGTATTTACACTCCCTAGTACAGTACTGTGTGAGCTCTCAACACACGGTAGAGTTATACACGCTCATAGTAACACAAAGGCTGAGACAAAGATGAAAGTGAAATTGGAATAAACAAACAAACGGAAAAACAAACATGTACTAAATATTAAAAAAATAAAATAAACAGCAAATTCAGTGGCTCCAAATTGCCTTATTCAGGGACCAGGAAACGCAGCTACGAACACAACCACCCCTTGGTAATTAAGCTTGATCGTGTGTTGTTGTGAGTGATTGATACACGTTATTATCAAAGCTGTAATTAACTCTGTTGTTCAGCTTATCTCCGGTCATGATTTGGATAATTTGATTGAATTTACCGTTTGTTTTTTAATCATGTACTTTACTTTATAAATACGTGTCAAGGTGTTCATCTCTGTCCCTACTTTGGTGTTATTACAGATTACCACAACATTACTGCCTTGAAAATCAGACTCATAGAAGCGTAACTTTTATATCATAAACACAACAGCGATATTTTAACCTTTATTCTATGGATTTTTTATTTTTACCTGTGTGAGAGGTGAAGCTGGGAGGCAACACCACCTTCCAAGTTATAACAGCTGGGCAGTGCACCGTCAGCAGGAACAGCGGGCAGCAGACTGAGCCCTCCCTCCTCGTGCCCACCGCTTATATGGCCTCCACAGTCCACCATCACCACCACCCAGAAAAACCTGATAGGCAAGAGTTGTGAGGTGGGGGAGGGGGGGTAGTATGGTGTGTGGGGGAGAGGGTCAGTATGGTTTGTGTGTGTGGGAGAGGGTCAGTATGGTTTGTGTGTGGGGGGAGGTCAATATGGTGTGTGGGGGGAGGTCAGTATGGTTTGTGTGTGGGGGGGGGGGCGGATTAGTATTTTTTGGTAGAAGGTATATGGTAATATGTGTGTGGGGAGGGACAAGGTGGAGTGTATGTGTGGGGGTGTTGTAAGGTGGTGTGTGTGGGGGGAGTGGGGCAGGGTGACGTCTATGAGATGGGAGGGGAAGAGAGTATAATGTAGGGTTGTGTATGTAGGGTAAGGTTAGGTGCGTGAGGGAAGGGCAGGGTTGTGTATGTGGGGGTGAGGCAGGGTTGTGTGCGTGAGGGAGGGGCGTGGTTGGGTGCGTGAGGGAGGGGGGCGTGGTTGGGTGGATGAGGGATGGGAAAGGTTGTGTGCGTAAGGGAGGAACAGTGTCGCCAGCCAGCTTACCTAACTTAGCCTTATCTTACCCAATTTAAGTAAACCTTGATTATTTTAAGATATTGAAGACCGTCTTAAGTATATTAGCGACAGTTTTACCATGTATACTATTATCCCCGTTTCACAAGAGTCCGTTCAGTTTTTAGAGATAATCGGAATAATTCAAGGTATGAGAACCAGGGGGAGGCAGAAAGTAGGATGGATGAATGAAATTAGAAGCTGTGGTCCCTCGTGTATACACTCTGTGGAAGTATTATTAAAGGCAGACTTCATATGTTTGAATTAGTGGGCCATGTAGTAAACCCTAGGACAAGAGAGTAGCATCTAGATTGTTTGATCCCTAAATCATGTGACGTAAGGATAATGTTGCGTATGCTTATTTATTCGATGCATCAAACAAGCTTTTCTTAAATCGCCTTCGAACTGTAACTTAGAATTTGTCCAAAAGTTTCTCAACGCTACTAGAAATGGACAACAGTTCACTGAAGTTAATGTAGTATTCTTTATCTCTTTAAGGAGTTATGCTGTATTTTTTTGTACTCTTATATTAACATTGCACTAATCACCATCACCGTCAGATACAAACGCCTTGCAATAGAGTGAGAGTGAAAGTCTGCTACCTTTCACAAAACGGGGTCCCTTTCCTGCACCAGATCTCAGAGGCAAGCGTCGCGAGGTTGAGGCGTTGGCCGTACCTCGCCTCTTCCCGACAGTAGACGATAACAAAATTAACTCTATAAGGAATGCTTACTGTTTACAGGAAGTATAGTACATGATCCAGATGTGTAGTGTTGAAGTATTAATGAAAGGCAGCTAGCTTTCTCTGCATGGCATCCGCTGCGTCATGAGGGAGGGGCGACCATCTCCTCTCCAGCTCCCACTCATAAAAACTTGTTTCAACCTACGCTACGGTGCCGGCCAGTGTTGTGATGATGGTGAGGCCAATGCCAGAGGTAGTGGTTTTGATGCAATAATGCCCTTAGCAATTGTGGGGGACTGAGATGGCGGCGGCGGTGGTGGCGGCGGTGGTGATGGTGGTGGTGGCGGTAGTGGCGAGGGTGGTGGTGAAATCAGTTTTTATGGTGGTGATGGTGGAGTTCTTATGGTGGTAGTTATGGTGGAACCGAGAGTTAGTAGTGGAGGTGTTGATGGTGGTGGAATCAATTATTAAAGCGGTTGTTTTGTATGAAGATGATTGCTATATGGTAGAGCAGCAGGAATATTGATGGTGGTAATTGTGGTAGATGATAACGTTAAACAATGTAATAGTGTAGATTTACGTAGTGATGACGTGGGGCAGTGGTCGTGGCAGTGATATGGTGAGAGTAGTCCTGGATAAAGTGTTACTGATGGCTATAACTCTGAAGATGGTGGTAGTGGTGGTAGTGGTGGTAATGGTGGTGGTACTGGTTGGTAACGGGTGATGTATTATGTTCGTGATTATGGTGATGGTAGCAATGATCATGGTGGAGGAATGGTATGTATGGTGATGGTGCAAGGGGGGTTGGTATTGGTGGTGATAGTGAAGGTGGTAGCATACTGGTGGTGATGGAGGAGGTAGTGGCATTAATAGTGATGGTGGAGATGATAGTGAATGGTGGTGATAGTGATATGGTGTTACTGGTAGTGATGATAGAGGTCATTGTACTAGTGTTTACGATGGACATGGGGTGGTAGTTACAGTAAAGGTTGCCCGTTCGATCCCGCGACACTTCTAGTCCTTCCGGTGATGAATGGATGCCTGAATTTACAGTGAAGGGGGGGGGAGCGTACCAAAGACTAATTAGCATTTAGTCTTATGTACAATACCTGAGCTGTCTCTAATGGCCAGTCACACCTATGGAAACTATATTTATGGTAGTTGTGGAAATAGTAATCATATGTAATTATAACAAGAGTAAGAATGTAATCTGGAAGTATTTTTGAAGAGGAGAGCAGAAACAAGATGGCATCGACAAAAAAAGCTTTAATTCGATACCAAAAGAAGCAGAAGTTTCAACCTTACTAAATGACTTGAGAAATGATGATGTAATGCGGCTTTCAGAGTCAAGGAAACAATCTAGTCAATGATGATACAGAATCTTTAGTTAGTAGAGGCGGGGGAAAAAGGTCAAGAGTATTATGCTTACCTCAAGGTTTCTCACAACACAGGGTTAGTTCGCTTCCGGGTCATGTGAGGTCGCCGTGTGTTGCTTAGGTTAATTAATGTATTACGGCGAGAGAGAGAGAGAGAGAGAGAGAGAGAGAGAGAGTTAGGAGGACATTGATAGTGGTAATGGTTGTGGTGAGTATAGTAGTTGTAGTTGTTGCTGTTAGTTTGAATGTTTGTAGTTGTTATAGTGGTGAAGCTGATGATTGTGGTGGTAGAGGCAGTAACTGGAGTGGTATATTCAAAAGCCAATATTTCTTAAATATTTTAAACCTGTCTTTATGCTATATTGCTCCAGTTTAGCTACACACACACACACACACTCTCTCTCTCTCTCTCTCTCTCTCTGATTTTTTCTTGCTCTGTCTCTCAAGTAAACACACTGGGTAGGAGGAAAAACAGAGTGAAGAAATTAATAAGAGGAGGAGGATCTTGCCATGCTGGTCTGTAGAAATGTCTGACTTTCTATCTCACTTTTCCTTTCACAATGAGTTTTTGTTCATGACAATTATGTATTCTTTTGTGTTTGGTTTGGTTAGGTTAGGTTAGGTTAGGTTAGGTTAGGTTAGGAATTCTCTCCTCGTCTTTTCCACTGGTGTGAGACATGACTAATGGAGGAAGATGAGATGGTTAACTATTTTTTCATACCATAAGTCTAAAAGTATAAGTGATTTTATGTCTTTCCGAAAATTCTCTATAAAACTTATGACAGAGCTATTGTACCTCTCGTGGCCATCACTTTGAAAGGAACATCCCTAGATAGAGAAGATCGAGGAACCTATCAGAGTGTTCGGTGATGCAGCAACCAATCAGTGTGGTTCAGAACGTTCGTCAGATTACGGGTCGTTCTTCTGTAGCAGTTATAGCCAGGAAGGAACATCAGATCTATAACGAGGGAATCGTAACATATACTGCCTTGTTACCTGCCTCGACCTTAACTAACTCATGGCCGTAACTCTGCCTCAACTTAACTAACCACATGATTTAAGAATTCTCCTGCACCATCTTGTTTACGAAGCCGTAAGACTCAACCGCCTCGACCACTAAAATTACCCAACCGAAAATGCCCCACCAAAATTAACCTACACCAAATAAAATGCCCAAATACCCTATAAATTTGCACCACTTTGGAGGACATAAAGATTTTCTATCGATTTATATATTTCAATCCTACTGTACACACTGCTAAGCGATAATGTGTGATTTACATTATATTGGGTGATACATGTCAGTAGTTTGGTAAGTCTCTCTGGTCAAGGGGGCTGAGAGCTTCAGAGTAACTTCTACCGGTGACTAAACACGACTGGAAAACTCTAATAATTGAATGCCTTCCCACTAAAGTGTATAGTCATTGAGGCTTTAACTATTATTACACCATATGACTTTCCTCCTTTCAGCTGTACGACTTTCTCTTACCATCACCACCCGTCTCGCCGACCAGTTCCACCCATGGGAAACTGTTATCACCGAGACACAGCTCAGATAGGCGCATGTATCTGGATATCTTTTATTTGGTGGTGTCAGATAACCTCAGATTTCCCTTATTTCAATAATATTATTAAAAATGAAATATAATACTTTTTAATGTTATGTCACTTTATGGTATATGATAATTCTGTAATGGGAATTTCAGAATTAAGGTCAATTTTGTTCCATAGTGTTCAGGATTTTTCACTACAGAGAATAAGTATTAAGTTATATGAGACTAAATTAACTTTTTGTTGTTGTTTTCGCGTTTCAGGAGGTCTCTCTTTTCGGTAATCAGCAGTTATTACAATATATATCATATTGAAGGCCCATCATCCTTAATAAGTCATTTCTTATCCGTGTTCTTGATGTCCTGGTGAAATCTTTCTCCTTGTTCTTAGCTCATAGTACGAAGATTTCCGAGAAAGTTGTGCATTAGTTGTTCATTATGGGACTGGATGAAATGAACCTTGAAGCTCATGTTGCAACCCAAGTTTTTAAAGATTTGGTTCAGCAAGTTTTTTAACATTCACTTTCAAATTTGGGTATTTTTTTTTTTTTCGAAGAAGTCGTGAGGAAGAAGTTTTCAAGCCAACACAAGCGGCTTTTTAAGTCTGGCTCATGAGTCATATTGTTCGAACCAGGTGTCAGTTTCTTTCTTGTTTGTCCCATAACTTCCTCTCCAAGGCTGACTTCTCGTTCTGCTGTCCCGTTTACACACACACACACACACACACACACACACACACACACAAAGTGACCAAGCTTATTGTACCGAACCTTTCAAGAAGAAGATCAAGATTTTCACTGTAAATGATATATC